GATGTCATTTTCGCTATTTTCAATGTTATCACGTTCTTGATAACATTCACGTTCGTGATCTTCGAAAGTACTCGAGCAAAAACCTAGCGGAACTTTTGGGGACTTCTTTCATCAGTTTGATCTAAATGTACGGCAACTAATACAATTGACAAGCATGTATGTATATATATATATATATATATATATATATATATATATATATATAGTAGAGCCAAAAAACAACATGTCCTGAAGATAACGTTCAAGCATGAAAGAAACTGTTGCCGCCTGGTGTTGATATCAGTGTCCACTTTTATATTTACATACATTCTATCCATGTCTGACTAGGTACAGAGGCTGAAGATTGCGTTTAAGCATAAAACAGACTGTGGTCGCTGGGCGTTGACCACAATGTCAATATATTTTAATTTATTGCTTAAACGTTATTATTAATCGATGCCAATATTTGAATAGATTGTTTTGATCTATTTCTTACACAGCATATTTATTTCCATCTACCGGCCTGAATATTCGAGAATACTGGTTAGGGAAGGGCATATATTTTTCTAACAAGATTTCAAATATGGGTATCCATTAAAAATAAAAATTTAAGCAATAAATTAAAATATGTCGGATTAATAAATGAAAAATCCATTCCTATATATATATATATATATATATATATATATATATATATATATATATGATTTAATTGATGTGTATTTGGGCAGAAACCTTTCTTTCATGCATCTTTCATTGAAAACGGCCAACGAGGAAGATTTAATTATTGAGTTTTTCCAACAATCTAACATTTTTCCGTTTTTCAAGGGTTAAAGAATATAGGAATTGTCCATAGTTATAATTATTCCGAGCGCTTTCAGCTGCTTCTCTAGCCATTATCCAGGATGTGTTTTGGGATTGTGAAATTCAGTGTTTGGTTGCTACATAGTAATTTTACAGTGTGGTTCGAACGGTTAGTGTACCTCTTGGCGATCATACACAGTGCGCGGCCAATTGACCTATTAAAAATAACGTATAAACTAAAAATATATTAAATAATTGTCCAACTTAATCCACTTCAGTATATATATATATATATATATATATATATATATATATATATATATATATATATATATATAATTATTTTTTTTTTAGTATGATCCCATCGCGACACAGAAATTACTATATTTCGAAACAGGTCAGCAGTATTTAAGTTTAATTCCAATATTAATCCTTAACCACCGGGTGGCAGTTTCAAAACAAGGCTTGAGGATGAAACTGCCACCCAGTGGTTAAGGATTATAGAATCATATTTTAAAAAAATAATTATAATCTAGGCTCTACTTGTGTATCGAGCACTGTTTTTTAAAAAATAAAAACAGAAATACTAAGGAACTTCGATCATCAATCTAACGGTTCTTTTCTATTATATAAATATATTTGCACACACACACACACACACACACACACACACACACACACACACACACACACACATATATATATATATATATATATATATATATATTATCACTTTAATCGGTATTTTTTTTGGATACTCATATTTGAGTAGACGCTTCATATATTTATTAAACATTATGTTTATCTATTTTCGTCAACCAAGGTGAATGTTCGAAAAATCGTACTGAAGAAATATTTTCCCTCACCAGCAGGATTCGAACCTGCGTTCTCGGGCCGGTAGACGAAAATAAATAAATATACTGTTTAATAAATAAACGGGTCGTCTATTCAAATATGGGTATCCTCTATTCGTGTAAGGTGATAAAAAATGTATATAAATATTTAAAAGAGGTTAAGTTCAAATCGCTCATAAGATTTTCTTGCAAGTGCGATCGACAGGCACCCCCGAACATTCAGATCACCTGATCATCCTTGTTGTAAGAAGTAGAGATTTGATCATACTCTCTCTTTTTGTGTGGTGTTGCGGGTTACTGTATTTGTTCTGCTTTATTCATTTTTATTTAGTCAGTGTGTATTTTGTGTCATTGCATAGGTATGTGTCTGTCTTTTAGTCTATGTTTTACTTTTCTGCTTATGTTTACTCTTCCATTTTATTGTATTTGTGGGTCTCTTTCCTTCTTTGTTCTCAGTTTTTGTTTTTTTTTTTTTTTTTTTGTCACTTCAAGTCTATTGTGTTCCTAAAGTCAAAAACACTTTGATTTGTTGTGTGTATTAAGATCGTATAAAATTATCTTTTGTGGATATATAAGTTGATAATCTTCTATGTACCTGAAATAAGACAAATTTTTTAAAAACACATCGAACACACCAACGCTTTACGGATTACCAAAAATACATAAAACCGTACATCCCTCATGAGACTAATTATATCAGGAGTGGGTAGCGCTCTACATAAACTAGCCGGCACACTAACCAAAATTATATCCCCAGTTCTTGGTACAATTATTTCCTCACATCAAAAACACAGGTGATCTTTTAAATAAATTGAAAAACATAGACATCAAAAACAAATATATGGGTAGTTTAGATATAAAATCTTTATACACAAATGTTCCTAAAAATAAACATGTAAAATCACACTTAACTAAAACAAAAAATAAAATGTTTTCCTATATAGAAAATCATAAAAAAATGTGCCATTGAATCACAAACCGATGTTTTTTTTTTTCACGTTCGATAACAATTTTATGCACAAAAATTTGGTTTACCGATGGGATCCCCTCTTAGTAACGTTTTGGCTTGTCTATTTTTTGAATTTCTGTTAAGTAATCCTTTCAAAATATTTTACCACAGAATTCTTCTTATTTCAGATACATAGATGATTCTCTCTCTCTCTCTCTCTATATATATATATATATATATATGAATTTGTAGATCTGATGAATTGGATCGTGATTCCAATGTAATAAATTATAACCATGGAATATTAGTGTTTGAGTATTATATATATATATATATATATATATATATATATATATATATATATATATATATTATATATATACCCAAGTATAGGATTGGTGTATACGGAATAAATTCCAATAATCAACAAATACTATTCTTAAAAGAGTGCTCAATACAGAGTAGAGCAAATGTAATTATTTATTCGAAAATTATAACATAGATATGTTATGAAATCACTACAAAAATAGCCATTTTGTTTCAACGCTTCTGATATCTTACCAAGTGATGGTGTTGGATATATATATATATATATATATATATATATATATATATATATATATATATATATATACGAATGATCTATTTCCTTCCTTCTAAGCATATAGACGCCATTTTAATACCGGTGATTGTTGTATAGGAAAAAATATCTATTAATTGGTCTAGGTCATGCCACAACATACATGTTTTTTATATTACATAGTTTTTGAGATATGATTGTAATTAATCAAAGAAGGATTATCCTCACACGCTGTGTGTAAGTGTGTGTACTCACAAGAAAAAAAGAATTTATATAATTGTGTGTGTCGTTGTGCGCACATGTGTGCGTGTATCTAAGTAAAAGACAATACGTGTAGCTAAAAATTCGGAAGATTATTAATGACAGAAGTGTTTTCATTATTGCACTTGAAGAAACAAATCTTTTGATTGAATCAAATATTGTCACATATCCATGAAATGTGATATGTTCTTTGAGAAAGTGTGCAGTGTATTTTTAATTCGAATTCACTATAGCACCCTTCTTACGAATTCAAAACTTTAGAATAAATCATAGTCCTCTTCAAATACGGGACGATTAAATTAATTTAAAAAGAATTTAACAACTGAAGGAGAAGAGATCAGCTAAAATGTTGGAATAAAAAGCAAGAGAAAGATGAAGAGATGATAGAAAACTAAGAAGAATAAAATATGTGGAAGAATGAAAATACTTCATGTCATAATCTCTAAACAACTTAAAGAATATGACTAGGAATTTAACAGCTGAAGAAGAAGAAATCCGCTAAAATGTTGGAATAAAAAGCAAGAGAAAGATGAAGAGATGATAGAAAACTAATAAGAATAAAATATGTGGAAGAATGAAAATACTTCATGTCATAATCTCTAAACAACTTAAAGAGTATGACTTGGAACAGCTGAAGAAGAAGAGATCTCATGATAAAAAGCAAGATTAAGATGAAGGAATCATTGAAAACTAATAAGAATAAAACATGTGGAAGAAAGACATAGAATTGTAGGCATACTAGCAATACTGTGCGTTGAACATCGTTAAGAAAAAGGTGTTTTTTTTTTAGAAATATTGTCTAAAGTTATTCTTTTTGTTTTTGATTGGCGATAAATATTTTATCAATGGCTGTACTGGAAACAATCTCTTTTCATTTTTTTATTTTTATTTTTGTGTCTTTGGATAGAATTATCATATTTAAAAACTATAAATAAATGTAAAGGTAAAGTAACTCATTAAATGCACCTCGTTTCGTATGTCTCATGTGGTATGGTTTACTGAACAGATGGTAAAAATGTCTCAGGCATGCCGATTCTCTATTGGTAAAATATCCTTTCTTTATTTTCTTGTAATTGATTAAAGAAGAAAAATCAAATAAGAGAGATTACTTTTCCATAGATACATGCATACATACATACATAAATACATACATACAGATGTGTGTGTGTGTGTGTGTGTGTGTGTGTGTGTGTGTGTGTGTGTGTGTGTGTGTGTGTGTGTGTGTGTGTGACGAAAATCGTTTGGTTATATTTTCTTGAAGGGTTTCCGGTTAAAATGTTTAAGAGACGACGATGTCCGTTGGGTAAATGGAGTTCTTATTTGAGGAAATAAGAGTTAAGAAGAAGAAGAAGAAGAAAAATCCCCAAATCAGACTGACCTTTAAGAATTTAATTGGTGAAGCACAATCAGAAAGTGTGACTTTTTTTTTTATATGATGAAGGTGTGTGTGTGTGTGGGGGGGGTAAAGATGTAATAAAGGAGAGGAAAAGAGAGACAAAGAGGAAGGAAGGAAAGACGAGTAAGAAAAGACTGAATTCTTAGAGTTTTTATTTTTATGTTATTATTGCAAAACGGTGAAATAGAGAGAGAGAAAGAGAGAGAGAGAGAGAGAGAGAGAAAGAGTTGTGAAGAAGAAGGAGAAGGCAGTGAAAGAGAGGGAGAGGGGGGAGCAGAGAGAACACAGGTAAAGGTCGTGGATTGTAGGTGGGTGAAAGGAAGCCGTTACGCGTTAAGTGTGAGGAGGTTTCCGGCACCGCTTCTCCATTTCCTTAACGAATCGCTGGGAAGCCGTTAAAAGGGGTCGGTATTAGGATTTAGAAACAAATAGACGCAGGCAGACACGCAACGAACGAGACACACGTACGCGCCATCAAGCAAGTTGGACCGGCAAGCAGGCAGTCAAGAAGCTAGGCAAGTAAGGAAGGCGGTTGGTTGGATGACGAACGGGGAATTGTATATGGAAATAATGTCCAGAGAGATCTCCCGTTGGCCGTCAGCGTTGGAATGCGCTTGTGGTTGCTGGTGGAGAAGGAGGATGGCGAAGGCAGGGAGAATGAAGTCGAGCAGAGAGAGGTAGCGGAGCCGAGAAGCAGGGATTGTAAGAAGAGGAAAAACTGTAGTCGTCATGGCCAGGTCTTAAACGATATCGCCCGAGCTTAAAAAATGATTCTTATCCTATTGTATATAGGCTAAGGAGCTTTAAGTTACATAACAAAGAAATCGACGTAAATAAACTTAAACCAAAATGCAATTCTATTTTAATTTTTAAATATCAATCTTGAATGATAAAATAATGGAAGTGTTTCACTGCTGTTTATTAAAACTGCAAATAAGAGTATGCATTATATTTATACTACAATTAATCAGTCATTTATCCCTTGTTTCCTGTTTAGGATTGGGTTTCCGGTTTCTTAAAAAAGTCTACTTCAGCTCTATACTCCTGACACTTATCCTGTCACCCTCTAGCTTGAGCGGCTTTCTATAGGGTAAACATTAGTAAAAAGGAAAAAAATATTATGTTTTTCTTATACGTTTCTTTTTTTAAAAAGATAAACATCACATCCAAATTGTTTACTATTATATTATTTTTAAGCGCATCCTATTTTATATGTTAAAAGTAAACATGTAAAATTAACCAGAAGTGTTTAAAAATATTTTGATTATCTAACTAAAATGTTTTATGCGTGTTAATTTAGAATCAGTTTTGATAGAAATTCGTCTCAAAGCTATTTAACCTTTAATTAGTAATTAGTAATTAGTAATTAATAATCCTTAGTAATTAGTAATCCTTAATTAGTAGCTTAACGTTTATTGACGCAGAAAGTGCAGTTGGTGAACCTATTTCAAATTTTGATGTTCTTTGTTGCATATACTTTTGTACAAATGCCCTTTAAGAAAGGCATGAATCCATCTATTTTATTTTCTTATGGTAAACTGTATTTCTCTAGCATTGAAGGACAGCTCTTCTTGAAGAAGGGTTATTCTTAACTCAAAAATTGTGAAGAATGCAATAGAAGACACTCTATTATTATGTTGCAAGAAATTATGGTAATTCATAGATAATAAAGAAATGTGTGGAGAGTGATGATTGCCCGCGTTAAAAGAAAGAAAAAAATATTTGATAATTAACTTCTCGGATTGTCATTTAAGTATACATAAATAATTTCTATGCTAATGAGAAATGGTTAGTAAATGATACCTAGGTTATTATTCTTATTATTGCTAGTTCGATCATAAGTGACCACAGGTCATATAGCCTTGTGCCAGACTAAACTAAGCATGGTAAATATAAATATCGGTACCCAGTCCTTCATTAGTAGTTTGCAAGATAATATCAAAGACTATTACTATGAAAACAAGTGCTCCATACTTGCGAACTTGTGCCAGACTAAGCTAAATTTAGTTGAAAGACACATAAATAAATACGGTCCAATGCGTGTACATACTTACATCCCATTACACAAATACACATACAATCCATTATACATATTCACATACATACATTTCATTAGATACACATATATACATATAATTACACATACACGTATACACACACACACAGATATATATATATATACAACACATTACACAGATACACAAATATACATTTCATTGCACATATTCACATACATACATTTCATTAAATACACATATATACATTTAATTACACACCCAAATACCCAAACACACACACACACACACACACACACACACACACACACACACACACATATATATATATATATATATATATATATATATATATATATATAACCCATTACACAGATACACATACATAGGTTTAATTACACATATTCACATGTATACATTTCATTACACAGATACACATAGATACAACCTATTACACGGAAACATATACATAAATTTCTGTACACATATACACATACATACATTTCATTACACAGATACACAGACATACATCACATTGCATATATACGCATATACATTTCATTACCCAGCTACAAACACACACACACACATACATCCCCCCACATATATAACAATATCCAAAATTACCTCATATGGGTATAGGTCTATTTCAGCCAACGGGAAGTGCGTCGGTTTTATTCAACCCAGGTAGACACACACACATACATATATATATATATATATATATATATATATATATATATATATATATATATACACAGATACATACATAGTCCCATTACACAGATACATAACACAATGAATTATAAACACGAGCTGAATCCCACTCAACGTAGAAAGAATACTTGACCACATTGTATATTGATATTAATAAATCTGATTATATTTTTCTGCACAAAGAATTCAATATTTAAAATGTGATTTATTTAATCGTTCTATCGAGCGCGTTCGACCTCAACATTGATTATCACGTTTCTGTTGAAGTCTGAAAGTTGTTATGACCTGATAATGTATAACTGAAATATTTTTTACATATATACTCCTTAATGTATATGAAAAAAAACAGACCCGCGCAGACAAACACTTGCGCGCATATATATATATATATATATATATATATATATATATATATATATATATATATATATATCTATTTAGGTAGCAATCCTTCTTTCATGCAAGTTTCATTAAATATGACAGACAAGGTGCTTTGATTAAGTTTTATATAATTTTTCATATGATATTACAATTGTTTTTCTCTTTAGTAGATAAATTATATAAAAACTGTCCAAATGTTATATTTTTCCGAGCGCTTTCGGCTATACATTTAGCCATTTTCAAGGATGAAATATATTAACAGTTAACTGGAAATAGATTGTTGTATGTTTGTATTTAATATTATAGGATGTTTTATTTTCAAAACACAGTAATCACATTGCGTCCATGTTCATTGAGTATTGGCTTCTTTTATTTTATTAATAAGGCTTCCATTATTTTTAGTATTTTTTTTAGCTATTTTTTGCATCTAGATGATACTATTACATTTATGTTATCAACAATTATGTTGGGAAAAGTTCCGGTAGGTCTCCATGAGTATTTAAATGAGAACAAATTGAGCTATGATCAGAAAGATGTAGCGTGAGTCTTGTTGTTAAACATGTTGTCGTGTGGACAGTATAATTGTTTACGAATTTTGATTGATTAGGAGCACAATATATATATATATATATATATATATATAGAGAGAGAGAGAGAGAGAGAGATTTTATAGTAAGGTTCACCCTGTACAAGCCCCGGGGGCTACTCAAGGTAGAGGGTTACGATAAGGGGTAGTTTATATGGATAGGAGGTTGACTCTAGACTTGAACAGGTTAAGATTGTAGTGATCGGGGAAACATCCTCTATATATCTGCCTGTGTGTACGCAGGCGTGTAGGTTGTACTTTTTTAACTTTTACATTTATATCTAGGTATAATAAAGATATACACTATAGGTATAATAAAGTTATACATATAAAATAGGGGTTAGAAAACCCTGATTTTAAACCTTTGCTCCCTAGTGGTCATATCAAAACAAGAGAAAGGCTGCGGAAGTAAATTCATACAGAAATCCAGACTGGAGCCCTGAAAATGCTTGGCTGTCAACACCGACAAAATTCCAGCAACTCTTGCAGCCAAGCCATCCCCAAATGTAATACCCTGTATTTCTTTGCATCATATCGGTACGACCGAGAGGGGATCATGTGGCCTGGGTAGGGCACGGGCTCCATATAACATCGGCCAAGCCTACTTCTGGAGAGGTCACACCAGACTCAACATCAAAGAACTGAATTTTGACCAAACCGGGCGCTACAAGTTGAGGTCAACCTTAAACAAATATATGCCATCGACACTTTGATTTTCTTTCACATCCAACCAAATCTTGCAAAGCCAAACGGCGACAGGAAATGGATGATGGGATCAGGATAACGGTTCTAGGCCTGAATATGCACATTGGTGACGAATTTAGGCATCATAAAGGAAGTGATCGTCAAAGAAGAAATTAAATTCTTTTACTCATAAATATTATATCTAACAACTAGCTAGCCCAGATAGATAGATAAAAAAAACATTATATACAATATTACATCTTTTTATATTTAGATTATTATTGTTAAGAAGTATTTATTTTAATTTTTTTTCTTTTACACTGTTGGAGCAACTTTGTACATGAACTTGAATCTTTCATAATAATATCAAATATCATCTGCATATGATTCACTGTCCATTCACTTTTCCAAGCTCATCAGTTTAAAATTATTTCACCCAAACAAAAATTCTTATTTAAAATCCAATATCAAATTTATACTTACATGAATTACTCTTTGATATGATTGTCAAATAACCGTTGAAATGTAACCCACACAGAACATATTAAATGCAAGAGGAACAGAAAGAAACAGACAGTACCCTAACTAACGAGTCTGCATAAATGGATGACAGAATACGTTGTCGGAGGGATAGTAAAAAGACAATAGAAAAATGGGGAGAGCCATGTTTGTCCATTTCCTGAAGGGACATAAAAGTAATAGTTTCCTGAATTTCTGAGATGAATAACAATTTTATATTGTATTGTTTCATGTTATTTTTATACTTTTGGGGAAAAAAATCAAAATGTATAAGTATAGGAAAATACAATGGCAGCAAAACTCTTTACCAAACACTTACATATTTTAAAATTAGGATCCAATTAAATTCCTTCGAAATAAAAAAAAATCTATTTACCTAGAGAGTAAAATCTGATTCTCACTGAGTGTTCCATAGTCGTAGTCTAAAACGTCACACATAGTAAAATAACAACCAAGTTATAAAATTTTAATACAATGTATTTCCACTTCCAAATGATCGGGAACTCTTTGGCTATGCTAGATGATTTTAAAATAATAAATATATTTTTTCTGAAGAAGCATTCAAATTTATTTAATAAAGTACTCTTTGCAAAAAGCACAACATTAATTTATTTTACTTACTGCATATAAATAATTTAAGAACTAACTTTTAAAATAATAATAATAATAATAATGATGATAATTATAAACAAAATGATTCACGTAACTCTTTCAATATTTTTTAACAGTTAAAAGAATAGCGTGATTTAAAAGAAAAAGAAAAGACAATGTTCAACAATATTTCTACAGTATGTCTTCATTCTTTGAGTTATATTAAAAAATGTTTTTC